TTTTTTTTTTTTTTTTTTTTTTTCATCATCATCATCGTCCATGCCTAAAAAGTCTGCTATGTCGTCCTCATTATTTTGTAAAATTTTTTTTTTGAGCGCTTCATCTTTCGCAGTTGAGTCAAGATTAAAATCTTCTCTCTTTTCCTCCTCGTCGTTCAGCCACTCTGTCCAGTCGTCCACTTCGCTGTTAGCTTTATCTGCGCACCAGGGAATAGAAGCAGGGGGGGGCGGAGGTTAATTACACATGCATGCGACAATGTATTATACGCATGCCTTATATGAGTAGTGACGGGAGAATGTGTCCACATAAACTGTCGTCTTTTATGAAAAGGGCGGGAGGAGAAAAGCCCATAATCCGATCGCCTCTTTTTTTTTCTACGATCACCTGCGCCCACAGCGCACAACTTACCCATTGCGAATGTCACACGGGGGGGGGAGCTTCAAACGAGAAAATGGAACCTACAACGCGGCAACAAGCGCCCTTACGGCGAAACAACAATGAACCGGCCAAATGGGGGGAGCCGTGAAATAATAGAAATACTGGTTCTGTGGAGCAGCAAAGCAGATGGGAGGGGGAGAAAAATCGCCAGATCAGCCAAAACTGGCAAGGGCGCAAAACCTGTACAAACGAACCTTTAGCGTAGGCTTCCCTTTTTGCAAAAAAAAAAAAAAAAAAAAAAAAAAAAAAAAAGAAAATTATTATTATTTTTTTTTTTTTTTTTTTTTTTTTTTTTTTAACAAAAAGGTTAGGGGCGGGGAGAGCGAAAAAAAAAGGGCACACACATATATACATACATATACATATATATACATATGTATGTATGTAACAAAGGGGGTAGGAAGCAGGACGGACAGCAAGGAGTAGCCGGACCAACTGCGCTAGTAGTCCTCGGCGAACTCCTCTGCATCCTCCTCATTCTCGTAATCCTCCTCGTCGTAGGACAGATCACCATAAATCATGTCGACCTCATCCTTATAATTCTTAAGAGCATTTTTGACCTCATTGGGTTTTTTCTTATTTATGAGGGCATACCTTTTTTTCTTTTCCCTCTTTTCAATAAGCTCCTGAATCTTCCTGTTAATACTTTGCAGTTCCTTATCTTCTAATTTCACTTCGCACGCAGGAAGGATAATGGAGAGCAGCCTTTCTATGGCTACACTCTTCGCTTTACTTTCGTGTATTCTCGCTGCTAAAATTTCTCCTAACGTTTCACAGTCCTTTATGGAGTTTAGAGGGGTACTCTCTAGGGTTATAATTTTTTCTTGTGGTTTACTTTTAGCTGGGGCATC